AAGGGACAGGAAATCTAGCAACCTTGCCTCGATCGGTAGCCTATGCTGGGGTGGGTTTCTCTTTAACTCAATAAAGCCTTAAGTCCTCTAGAAAGTTACTTTCATGGGAGGGGATAAGAATGAGAGGATATTAATGTTTTGAATGATGCAAGTTACACTCACCACTGGCTCTGTATTGAACCAGGTATACTTGTTAAAGAGCATCCCGTTACGCTTATACGCAAACTATTTGTCCTTCACTAACATATCTTTCAGCACTGGCCTCGATTGGACTAATGTAAGTAGCTTGATCCGAAAATTATCACATTTTTTTAGATGATATGATGTGCTTGTTTTTATATTTCCTAGCTCATAATGAGCCATTTGGCACATGCACACTTTGAGACCTCATCATCACAAGTTGAAGCATTGTATGCTTGTTTATGAGTTATGACAGTCAAGAATCCAAACATTCTATTTTGTCATAACAAATGTTTAGCATTATGAGAAACATTTTAATTTTATTGGCTATAATAACATTTGAAATGTATCCTCATAGCGCCATCATATCATATTAATTGACGTATAATCTTATACAGGTGGGCCGTTTGCATTGTTTATTGCCTTGGTGGGAGGATGCCGCGGTTGATTTTATGACTAGTGGTGGCTACAATGTTGCTTCCCAGATAAAAATGGTATTTTCAGGCAGCATTACGAGTTTATGAATGTTATTTAAGTTATTTAACATGATTAAATACTTTAAAAATCCTCAGATTAGTGATACAACTGTTCATAGTTTCTTATTCTTTCTAACAAGATTTGGCTTTCAAATTTATTTATCAGGTAGAGCAGAAAACACTCATAATTTGGGGGGAGAACGACCGCATAATCAGCAATAAACTTGCAGTGGTTAGATAATACACAACACTCTTTTCTATTATAGGACATGCTGGAAAATCATGATCGTAAAACACATGATTCTATTTTTGTTTCAGTTCCTTTAACTGCAAGAAAATGATATTTCCAACTAATACTAATGCTGTACATTGTAATTAACTTTTGAATTTTACTCTTAATTTCAGCAACTGCACTGTGAATTACCTGATGCTATCATACGCCAAATACCCGATTGTGGTCACATTCCTCATGTTGAAAGACCGGATTCTGTTGCGAAACTCATAGTGGAATTTGTTCAGACGGGTACCAAAACAGTCAATCAATGTGCGCCATCATTATGAAGGTTCAGACCTTTTGCCATTCTATATCTACTAGAGAAAGGACAGAACTTTTGACCTTTTTCCAAAAGAAGATCCATTAATGGAGGTTTGAATGGTTATTAATTTAGTTGGTGGGACTGATGGTCCCTAGTGGAATCAATGAATTATATAGTACAACTTTATAAAAAAGATTACAGTTCATATATTTCATAAAAAAAAACACTTTACATGATATTTTATATGTCTATACTCTATACACTTGAATAGACATTCCCAAGCTTAATTTTTAATCGATTTTAACTATGAAACATAGATATCAAATAGACATTGGAAAATTGTTGCAAGAAAGCTTATTTATTTATTAAGAGAAAACATCTTTATCAATTTTGATTGTGTTCTGAATTACAAAAATAGAGCATTACTATAAGATTTGTGTAAGATTTGTCTGCAATGTATGTCATGATGTCAAAAAAACTTATTCTCAGTCGTTTTTGACAATTGGGAGCAATTGCGTCAAAGAGATAAATTCTTCCACCGCAGGAAAGAAATGTCAAAATTGGAAAGAGGGATGGTACAAAATTTACATCTCATATTAATGTTAATACATAGACCTCTCAACAAACCATATACTTGAAAAACCTATAAATTAAAGATAATGTTAAGTTGTGCGGTCCTGAGAATTTTTTTTAAAATTAGTCAATGTTTTTAAATATAATACCAAATAAAATAAGTTTTGAAATTATTTATCAAAGTGACAATTCAACAAACAGACGATAAATGGGCTGGCGAAACCATGCATCCCATAATGGATTCCCCAAATGATATGGCGAATTAGTCTAAATTGCAATTTTTAAAAAAAGACTCAGCATTTGGCGAATCAGTGTATTTTCCGTTTTCTTTTTTTACTTTTTTTCTTTTTCTTTTTAATTTTATTTTGTTTACAGTTTTAGTTTTATAAAATAATAAAAATTAGTTTAAAATAAATTATATTAATTTATAATAAATATAATTTTAGTTTTTTGATATTTGATATATATTTGTTTAAATTTTAGAACATAATAAATATATAATTCGTATATAATTTTTAAACATAATAAATATAAATAAGGTTAAATTTTAAAATATAATAAATATATAATTAACGTATAATTTTAAAACATATTAAATATATATGTAATATATAATTTAAAACATAATAAATATATAATTGTAGGTCACTTTTGAATTTTGATATTTTTAAATTTTACGTTGTAAAATTTTGGTACTTGTTGAAAAAAAGTATATAAATTTTATAAGGGTATTTAAGGCATATCATATAGCGTCAGTACTATTTTATTTTTCTATAAATACGACTGCACACACATATACTTTTTCACAATAATTTATACCAAAAGACTAAAGTCTTAATAATTTTGAGTGAAGTCTAAAATGTCTGAATTTCTAAATCAACGTTCTTCGGAGGAACCGTTTCCAACATTTCCTCTAATGAAAAGAAATGCTCTAGTTTATTTTTCAGCAACAAAGCCTCCGATGAAGGTGATACTGTGGAATACGCAGACATTGGAGCATTTGCATAGGGAACTGAACCGATGTCTAGAAGGAGATATTGATGCAGGTGAAAAGATTAGGAAAATTGAGGTTGGTCGAGGAGTTAGAGAGAAACAGAGTTACTCGTGAGTGAATGGAAAAAAGTGAAAAATGATGTTGGTGTCCTTGTGATGATGTTAACACCAGATAATAACGTTGGTTGTGATATCGTATACACCATTATGCATTGTTCTTTTATGTCGGTTTGTTGTTGTTATTTTTGGAACGTTGAATTGTTGATGTGATATTAAGTTATGTTTGTTTAATTTATATTGTTTGCTAATTGTAATCGGTTAAGTATGCTTTAAATGAAATAAAATTTGTTGTTGATTTAAAGGGACACGGTTACATTAGGCACTATGATCTTGTGTTTGATCTTACATTAGGACATTTTGTACGATTGTGTCCTAGTTGCCGACACGAACTGCATAATCTTACCATCTTGTTTGCGATATCCATCTCCGTTCGAATGCGCGTGCTGTTAGAGCGACCCTTTTTCTTTCTTCGCATCAAAATAATTATGCCAGACAATTTCGCCTTCGTATTGAGGCCAATAGTCCTCCTTTGCCACCACCTGAAAGCTACATGTGTAGACATTGCATTAGACTTATCACTTGATGAACTACAGAAAGAAAGTTGGTTGGGTCCGGGCGCGCCTTCAAACATGCTGCTATAACATGAGAGCAAGGCATACGAAATGTCTGAAACTTCCCACACTCACACAAGCTCCTATCCAGTTCAACCCGGTAACATCCCCTAGGCCTTCCTTCGTTGTGATCAATTGACTCAGCAACATTTAACCAACCTTTATTACGGTCAAAGATTGTGACCACATGTGTGTTGGCTTTGACAGCTTCGTCTTTCATTTGTTGAACTATTACTGTATAGCTGACCAGATTGTAATACTGAACCCCACTTTGTCAGCCCATTTGGCGACTCCTTGATGCATTCGTGGTTTCGCCAACCCATTTGACGACTGCATGTTGAATTGTTGTCACTTTGAAAAATAATTTCAAAACTTATTTTATTTCGTATTTTATTTGAAAACATTGGTTACTAAAAAAATTCTGATCCTGAAGCACATTTTAAGAAACACAAATTAAAATTTATATAAAAATAATAATAAAATTATTAATTATAATTTTTTAATAAATTCAATGTATAATTTTCAAAGAAAAATTATATTTAGCTCTTGTATTTTAATCCACAGTCTCTCCCGAAATCCATACATAGCTACTATTCCTAGATAATACTATCATTTTTTAAATTCATTATATAAATAATGTTTTTGTTGTATTATACATATGAGATTAATTGAGAAATACACCCTGTGTAAAATTACTTTACACTATTATCCCATTTGAATATATTATTGACACATAATTGTAAATTTAAAAATATAAAAAAATAAATTATGATTAAATTATTTTAATAATTATTTTTTTCACGTTTCTCTCTTTTCATGTGTCAAAGAGTAGCGCATTCTAATTATATATATATATATATATATATATATATATATATATATATATATATATATATATATATATATATATATATATATATATATATATATATATATATATATATATATATATATATATATATATTATTTAATACATTTAAACAATAATTTTTTTATTATAAAAAAAGTCAGGGAATATATAAATCATGAAAATTTCTAGGCCTTGTGAGCCTCTAAATCTACTTGCCTAAACTTTTATTTATAAAAGAATAAATTAGCCCATTTTTAATTGTTTTAAGTTTACATCATCCATCCTTAAATTTTCAAGGAATGTAAAAGCAAATCAAGGAAGAAGCCAGCTAGCTACCATGAAATTGACCCATATTAAAATACATGATAAATGAGGTGGCTTAGCAGGCTTCCATATAAATTAGTGCCATTCATATTCTTTAAATATACAAATGGGAAAATGATAAAAGGAAACCGATCGAGTTCTACTTCTAACCCAAATTATATCATAAACAAATAAAATATCACCACTAAACAAAGAACCAAATTATCTTTTTTTTTCTTTTCAACTTAGGAGAAAGAAAACAAAATTAGATTTTGCTTCTGGACAATTCTCATAAATAAAATTAATGACAGATTAACCTTCATTTTGTTGTGCAAAATCTCATCCACACATCAAACCCTCCCTAAAGTTTTTCCTAATTAACTAATACCATTAGAGTATTGTGCCTTTATTTCAGACCCTAAATACTAAACACAAGAAAAACAACAAAGAAAAATAACAATATGGTGTTGATGTTTCTCATTAAAGACACTCCAGCTCCAGAGGGATCACCGGTGGCGGATGGACCCATTCCAATCCCACTAGGACTCCCCGCCGCGCCTGGAATCGAACCGGGCGGTGAAACTGTTGATGGTGTTCTGCAAAAAAGCCAAGAAAAAATTATCAGCATAAAGTCCCATTAAAAACCAGCTCAGCTGATAGCAGTGCAGTGACATCAGATATCGAGTGCACATTAAAAACCAGCTCAGCTGAAAGCTGTGCGGAGACATCAGATATCGAGTGCACATTAAAAACCAGCTCAGCTGAAAGCTGTGCGGAGACATCAGATATCGAGTGCACGACACTAAAATAAGATACATTATCATGAAACATACCCGGGACTTGAGGGGTAAACACATCCGGATGGTGTATCTGTAGAAAAAACACAAGATATAAACATCATAATTATACATAATGTGTGATGATTATTATACATAAGAAAAATACTACTTACTTGGTGGTGTTGGAGTAGGTGTTGCAGCACCAGAAAAATCACAACTTCCTTGAACATTACCCTTATTCTGGTAATAGCTATTAACAGCATAATTACAGTGATCTTTCACAGTGTTGGGTTGAAAACAAGGTCCATTTTGGAGAATAGGGGTACAATCAGCACCAGCTCCACATGCATAATCAATTGCCGTCTGAAGGAGTTTATCAGTCACACCATCTTTGCATACACAGTAAAGACCACCTTTTCAACAACAACAAAAAACTTGTCAAAATAGAGGGAAAAAATCATAGTTATCATCGAGAAAAAAAACTACAAGTTGAAAGTTGAAACAGACAAAAATCTAGTTTTTGTGCTTACTTGAATGAGCAGTGAGGGAGAGGAAAAGCAGAAAAAAGATGAGAAAAGCCATCACAAGAAAAGTGATTTTGTTGTGAAACAGATTTCTAAGGGAGAAGAAAGAAAAGTAGATGAAGTGATGAAGAGAAAATACGTTTTTTTTTATTTAACCCACTTATGATGGCTTTTCACATTAAACGTTACTACTATGTTTTAAAATAATTAAAAATCTATTTGTTGTAATGTTAAGTAAAATAAAAATAGGATATAGGACAAAGATGTGTTTTCTGGGGAATTGTAATATTACTTTTTCCATGTCTTTGTCATATTTTCTGAGGATACTTTACACGTGTGATGAAACGTAAACTCGATGTTTGATAGGTTGGTACCAGTGGCATATGTGTCGTGTTGGACTTGGCATGACGCATGCTACTATGCTCTGTTTGGTTATCCATCAAGTTAATGCTGAAGTTCAATTTTCCAGCTTCTCATTTTGCACGTTAAAAGTACTATCTTGAGACTTGATTTTATATGTGCAATTGTGCAAACATTGTTCCAAACACATAATTATCCTTTTTCATTTATTTAAAGAAAATGAAATAAACGCAAATCCAGTTAAGGATGAGTTTGATTTAGGAAATAAAATTATAAAAAATAAGTAAGAAAAAGAGTTTATAAAATAAGAAAATAAAATTAATTTGAATATGATATGCATGACATAAATAATACCGCTGCCCTCTTGATTTAGTATAAGTGTGACTTGATTGATTAATATGGTAATACTCATTTACAATAAAGTTTAGTTTAAGTACGGCAGTTATCACCTTATAATTCAATTTTTTAAGATGAGGTTAAGCACAACTATATTTATCTATCAATTATATTAAAACAAATATATATCGACAACGGGGCACAGTTCACTGACAAAAATTTTCAGGATTTCGTCATCAAACTCGGCACAAAGCAACATTTCACATCTGTCGAGCACCCGTCTGCGGGTAGGCTGAAGCCGCGAACAGAGTGATCTTACAAGGCCTAAAACGAAGACTAGGCGAAGCCAAAAAGAGGTGGGCGAGGAGCTACACAATATGCTTTGGGCCTACAAGACGACCCCACACTCGACCACCGGGGAGACCTCATTCCGACTAACATACGGAACCGAGGCGGTAAGTCTAGTAGAAATAAGAGAACCGTCTAGGAGGACCGAATCTCCCCTCGATGAGGAGATGAACGACGAGGCACTAAGGGAGGAGCTCGACCTGGTCGAAGAAATCCGATTGGGAGCATCCCTCCGTGAAACCTCACTCAAACAAAAGATAACTTTGTGACATGACAACAAAGTCATTAAGCACGAATTCTAAATAGGCAGTCTAGTCCTGCAGAGAAACCAGAAAGACTCGCGCGAGGGCAAACTCGCCGCAAATTTGAAAAACCCATATCAAGTCCACGCAAAAACGGAAAACAGGGTCTACTATCTCGAAAACCTACATGGGGAACAACTTGTTGGACCATGGAACACTGAAAAGTTCAAACAATATTAAAGTTAAACATTGTCTTCGACATACTTGGTTCGACCACAATGAAGTACATCCCGACCACAGGAGCGCTAGGGTACAAGCACGGCCCCTAAATTTGAAACAAAAAGACAAGAGTCTGCTCTTGTGTGTGCGAGCAGACTCTTGATCTGACGGGGATACCTCAACTGAGCTCCACCGTTGTCGTACCAATTAGGTAGAACACCCAACTCGCGATGGGAAGTTCACGCCACGGAGTTAAGACCTCGACCGAGCTCTTAGCTTTGTCTACGGTCGGAACCTAACTCCGACCACTCGACCAGTTCTCTACACAGTCGAGGATCAATTATGTCGAGTAAAGGCCCTAATTCACAAACAAGTAAACACAATGTTGCATACACGCCAACAGGGAAAATAAATACCCAACAAATAGCACACATAACTTGCAAAAAAAGGATGGAATTGAAAGAAACTTCATATTACAAATGATGGGAAAAACCCATTGTTCAAATATTAAAAGCCACGGCGCGCAGGCCAGGCGAAACCAGATTACAAAATACGGCACGCAAGTCGGGCTAAGTCAAAAATTAAAATGTGACGCGCAGGCCAAAAAACTAAGAAGAAAAACTAAACATCTGCCTCCTCCTCCGGCTGGGTCTCCCCCCCCCCCCCCTCAGCCTGATCATCACTTTCACCTTCCACAGCGGGGCGAGCACCTAACCGTCGACCACTTGATGGAAAGGACCGATGCCCTCGGTGACGAGCTGAACCTAAGGATTCACAATTTGAAGCTGATCCGAAGCGTTGTTGAACCCTACCTCGAGAGTCCCTAAGCAGTCCTGCTCGAGCTCCCAGATTCGGGCGACCAGGTTACCGAGAGTCGCAAGGGATTTCTCCCTGTCGGTCTCATCCTTGGCGGGGTTGGCAGCGGCCTCTAATTTAGCAACCTTGGCTCAGAGTTGGTTCCTCTCGCCCTCGACCTTCTCCAAAGTTTTCTGCATCTTGGCTATGTCTTGAAGAAGACCAATCTGGACCTCGTACTTTGATTGGTAGTCGAGAAGGTCGTTCTCCGCTCTGTTATTCTCCGTCCAAATGAGCTTATTCTCTTTCTGCGGCATCTTCAGCTCAGAGATGGGGTTGGTCTCATTGTTGAGGACCAAGACCATCTCGAAAACCCTCATCATGGCGACCATGTCCTCGCACAAGGCCTTTCTTCGGGTCGTTTTGTCAATACCCATGATTACCTTGAACTCCGCCGCGGGCACGATCAGGGAGTTGTCCCCACCGAAAATCCACTGATGGATATGGCACAGGGGCAACACAAACCTTTCCTCGACAACGCCCTCTAGAAGGTTCACAGGCTCAGACCCATCAGTGTATCGCCGCTTGGGCAGATTCTCTTGCGAAGGGGGAGATTGGATGCACTACGAAGATGAGGAGGAACCCCCAGGATACTGATCAGGTTTTGACATCTGTTGAACATAGGCGACTCGGCCTTTGGTAGCTTTCTTCGCGCCTTTGTTCGCAGCGAGCTTCATCACACGTTTCTGAAGGCTCGACATCCGGCCTACAACAAATAAAAGAGCACATTAGCATGACAAGAGAAAATAAGCGGATACAAAAACAAGCTAGAAACACCCATTACCTAAGAGCCTCAATGCTTCCTTGTCGGTCCCATACTTGAGAAGGGCCTTGCTGTTAATCTACCGAGACTCAAGGCGAATCTCCCCACGCTCATCATGGATAAAACTCCTGTCTTTGTTGACGCACTTGGCAGGAGTAAAACTATCGACGAATGCGACTATCTTCTCATAAGCGAGCCGATCCTCGGCGTCCATATCGTTGGGCTTGACGGTGTAGTTGTACATCCCCTTGTCGAAGTGGCCCTCCTACCACTCAAGGGGAACTTTGCTTCCTAAGCCTCCACTTGCAGTCTGTTCTTGTGCTTGGTCACACGGTCGAACAGGGAATCAACGGCCGAATGTGATACGAGCTTTACGATAAAGTATATGTTCTTAAAAGCACGAACATTATCTAGATACTCCCTGAACAACTACCTCAGCTGATTCAGAGATACCCCACTGTGTCGGTCATGTAAGGATTGTCGCTGAAAGTGAAATGTGCGGAAGAACAAGGGGAGTGTGGCGCCGCCGCAAAGGTGTTCGCACACGAGCTCGAACGCCCACATGAACGTGATTGCATTAGGGTGAAGTTGTGAGGGCGCCAAAGCCAGCCATTGAAACACCCCTTTTGTAAATTACTGAAGGGCATGGAAAATCCTGCTTCCCGGAACGCGAATTCATACATCGGAAATCGTATCCTTTTGAATGACGAGCATTTTTGGTGCGTCTTTCTAGGCTTGTAGACCATCAAGTTCGGGGAGGCCCTTTCAGAGAGATCCACAATGGTCGTAAAGGCGCCCGAGTTGTTGAGGGCGAAGCGATACTCAGAGGCTCCTGCGCAACCCAAGCAAACAGCGTGGCGGCTCCCGCGACCTCCACTTCCTCATCAACCAAATCAAGCTCGACTTCTTCGTCGACCATGACGACATCCTCGGGCTTTGCGACTATTTTACCTGAAAAGCAGAGAAAAATAATGAATTCGACAGCTAAGATCAAATCTACCCTTCCACCGCAAATCAAGTCAAAGAGCAAAGAGGAAGGGAAAGGAAACGCCCGACAAACATCCTTGACCAAAGTCTTTACCGACAAGAGCGTGCTCAGGAGAGGGCCCTCCTCGACAGAGAATGCAAAACTTCCATCCGCAGGAGAGGTTCCTCAACGCTTAAGTTCCAACCAGAGTCGAACATGGAAAGTCTCCTCGACTAGAGACTCCCTCGTGGCACTCCAAGTCCACGGGGAGGAAGTTTCCCCGATCTCGAACCCAGCGAGGACGCTAAAGCCTCATGAGGTACCCAAGACCTTCATCGCAAACTTCATGCATTTTCCTAGAATCTTCAAGAAGCCCCCAGAATGTTTATCGGAAACTTCATGATTCCGTCAGAAACTTCACAATGTCGCCGGGAACTTCATGAGCCTTCCCAAAATTCGTCGGAAACTCCATAAATGTCCCAGAAAATTCGTCGTGGGACTCAAGAAATCCCCTATAAATTGCATAACAAGTCAGAAAACACACAAAATCTAAAGGAAGACAAAAGACTTATTATGTAAAGACGAATCTGGACGGCGGAGCAAGGAGCTTACGACATCTATGGCGGCAGACAGACATTTTGAGAATAGAGGAAACCTTGAGAGACTTTGAGAAATTCTTGAGCTAGAATGGGGGAGCGTGCAAGTGAATCAGGCTCCCCCTCAATTTATAAGCCCTAGCACGAGAAGCAAAATGTCTCATAGGCACTCAAGAACTCCTACCCGTAGCCGTCATAAGCTTTAATTACTTCTGACACGTGGTGTTGAATAACATCACGCGTGTCCCCAAAATCCCCTCGCACGGTCGAGGAAATGACGTGTCAGCCCTCTTCACTTTCGTTGTACCATCCAACATGTTGAACGTAATACCCGACCCTTGCGCTACCGGGAACACTTCCCTAGGAGAAGAT